GGCTGAGGCAGGAGGATCGCTTGAGCCCAGGAGTTTGAGGTTGCTGTGAGCTAGGCTGACGCCACGGCACTCTAACCTGGGCAACAGAGCCAGATTCTGTCTCAAAAAAAAAAAAAGAAAGAAAAAAAGGGCGGTTGGCAACAGAATAGTTCATAATCTCAAAGTATCCATGGATTATTTACTAATTACATTAAAAAGGGAAAATACACCCTTGCAATGGAGCAATCTGGTGGTCACTACTTTTTCAGTCATCAAATTTAGCATCACCAATATTAGGACAACCTGATGTTGTGCCTTCTGATAACCAGTAAAATATTTAACCTAAATCAATTTCAAAAACACTGCCGGGCGCGGTGGCTCACGCCTGTAATCCTAGCACTCCAGGAGGCCAAGGCGGGCGGATCGTTTGAGCTCAGGAGTTCGAACCAGCCTGAACAGCGAGATCCCATCTCTACAAAAAATAGAAAAAAAATATCTGGGCGTGGTGATGCGCGCCTATAGTCTCAGCTACATGGGAGGCGGAGGCAGGAGGATCGCTTGACTCCAGGAGTTGGCGGTTGCTGTGAGCTAAGATGCTGCCACTGGGCGACAGAATGAGACCCTGTCTCAAAAAAAAAAAAAAAAGAAAAAAAAGAAAAGAAAGAAAAAGAAACCACCAGACAAATTCAGAACATGTAATATTTTCAAGACAACTTGCCTGGATCCTTCCAAATATTTAGTATCATGAAAAACAAAAAGGCAGGTAGATTCTGGACTAAAGGGAGATGACCAAATACGATGCACAAACCTTGAATAGATCCTAGGTTGAAAAAATGTAGAATGCTCCAACTAGGACAACTGGAGAAATTTCAAAACGGACTGTGTTAAATAATATTGACTTAATTTTTAAAGATGTGATAATGGTAGCGTAGTTATGAGGTAGGATGTTTGTTTGTTTTTGGGAGTGACGAACCAAGATGTCTGCAACTCACTTTCAAATGGTTTAAGGGAAAACGAAAAAACTCTGGCAAAACGTTAATTGTGAATTTAAGGGTCGGCTGTTCATTTTACTAATCCTTCACATTTCCTGAAATAAAACGTTCGAGGGGGAGAATCCATTCTTATGGGGGAAACGCCAATTCCAAACAAGTAACTTGCAAAGGTACCTTAGGCACAGTTCGGGACTGTCCGTACAATTTACAGCAAATTTCCCTTTGGGACGGAGCGGAGAAGCTGTTGCCAGCAGACAGAGGAACCCGTTCTTACTCTTACTTTCCCAGCCTTGTGGCGTTGTGACCTGAGGTCGCCAGAATGTCAGCCACGTGACCCAAGCGGCTCCTTCTGATTGGAGGAAGATCCGTTGTTCCGTGCAGCGAGAATGACCCTGCGCAAATTAGCGGAAGGGGGCGGGACTGAAATTTTCTTTGACCAACCGCTTTCCTCATATACAGCCTCCTGACCGCGTGTGGTCGAATCAAAAGCCGTTAGTAAAGTAGTAACACTTATTCTCCTTTCTCGTAGGATGGCCGGTCTTTCCGGTTACTTTTTTTTTTCTTTATTTCTCTTCCGGTAGAGACGGGGAGGGCCAAGGAGCTCCGTAAGTCATTTGTGGGTGACTGCTGTTTTTATTTCCGGTCTATGGGACCCGGCTTGGATTTGCGGCTGCTTGCAGCAGCTGCCAGCACTGCTGCCGCCATCATGTCAGACACAGACAGCGACGAAGATTCTGCTGGAGGCGGGCCGTTTTCTTTAACCGGTTTTCTTTTTGGCAACATCAATGGAGCTGGGCAACTGGAAGGGGAGAACGTCTTGGATGATGTGAGGGGGTGGGCGTGGGGCGAGGGCTGGGGGTGGTACGGCTAAGGCGAGTAAGTGGAGTGAGGAAAGCAAAGGGTGCTTCGGAAGAGAGAGCAGAGGGCGATGTGGCCCTCTCTGAGGGGGCGCAGTTAACGCAATAGGATCCCGTTCTCGTAGATGGGGGAGTAATGCAGAGTAACAGGGCTCAGTGCTGGGCGTGGGTGGGGAGAAGAGAGGGGGACGGTAGGCGAGTCCCGGGAGTCGGGCGCGGAGTAGGTGGCTTTGGAGACATTGTTCTGCCGGACCAGACAGTAGGAAAAAGAATCGTGTACCGTAGTGAAATTGCTTCCAAACCATTATTCTGGGAACCTCCTTGGAGACTCTTGACACTGCCTGCATTTCTGACATCGCTGAGCGGAGATGGTTCTAGAGCCAGAAGACTGGACAAAACATGCAACAAATCGTTTGGTTCCGGCCCGGAGCCTTAGGACATGACTATTGAGACGGCTCGAGGCAGACCTCTTCTGGTCCCAGTGTGTTCACTGACATTCTTGAAGTTTATTCTTGTACCCAACTGAAAGTCACCTACTTTCATTTTGCTTCATTTTCTCAAGGAATAAAGCTGTTGGCCAATATTCCCCCTCCCCTGTGACACGAACACGCAAAAGATAGCCCTCCAAAAGCCCTGCCCTGCCTTGCTCATCCAAATGACCTCAGTTGCCTTGGCCTTTATTCAGAAAACTACTATTCCATTCATTTAGCTTTGGTGGTGGGCCCTTCGATAATCTTAAACTGTGAAGGTGAAATTAGACATAGTGCTTTAATAAAGATCTGATCAGTGTGGAGTTTAGTGGAAGATTTATGGTTCTTGAATGTGATACTCCTTTTAGCACATTGCAGTCATTTTTATATGGATTTATGACTTTGTGGACCAGGGAGGTAAGCCTTGTGGTGTGGGAAGCTTAGGTCTAGTTATCTCCGACTCTGGTGCTGTCCCTTTTTCAGGAGTGTAAGAAGCACTTGGCAGGCTTGGGGGCTTTGGGTCTGGGCAGCCTGATCACTGAACTCACGGCAAATGAAGAATTGACTGGGACGGACGGTGCCTTGGTAAATGATGAAGGTGAAGTCTGGGTCATGGGGAGTAAGGCGGGGGAGGAGGCTACACTTACTATACATGTACTTTTAAATGGGAATTAGGGAGTGAGAGTCAGTTGCTTTTTGTTGTGATTCCCTGCCCTTTTTTTATTTATAGGATGGATCAGGAGTACAGAAGATGCTGTGGACTATTCAGACATCAACGAGGTAGCAGAAGATGAAAGCCGAAGATATCAGCAGACAATGGGGAGCTTGCAGCCCCTTTGCCACTCAGGTGATTTTTTGGTGCCATGGATAGAACATTCCAGCACTTTCTTCCAGTTCTTTTTTTTTTAAATTTCAGAATATTGGAGGGGGGGTAACAAACGTTTAGGTTACATAATTGCTTTTGTATAGTTTGAAAGAAGTGTGCCCATCACCCAGATAGTGTGCATTGTACCCATTAGGCATGAATTTACCCATTCCCCCCCCACCTACTTGATTTCTGTTGAGTTTTACTTCCATATGTGCAGGCACATAAGTGTTGATCGATTACTTCCAATTTAGTATTTGTGTACATGTGGTGTTTGTTTTTCCATTCTTAGGATACTTCCCTTAGAAGAATGGTCTCCAGTTCCATCCAGATTGTTACAAAAGGTGTTAGTTCACCATTTTTTTATGGCTAAGTAGTACTCCATGGTATACATATACCACATTTTATTAATCCATTTACGTATTGATGGGCACTTAGGTTGTTCCCACATCTTTGCAATTGTGAATTGTGCTGCTATAAACATGAGTCCAAGTGTCTTTTTTATAAAATGTTTTTTTTCCTCTGAGTAAGTACCCAGTAGTGGGATTGCTGGGTCAAATGGTAGGTCTACTTTGAGTTCTTTGAGGTATCTGCATACTACTTTGCATAGAAGTTGTACTAGCTTGCAGTCCCACCAACAGTGTATAAGTGTTCCTTTCTGTCCGCATCCATGCCAGCATCTGTTGTTTTGGGACTTTTTGATGAGGACCATTCTCACTGGAGTTAGGTGGTATCTCATTGTCCAGTACATTTTCTTGCTGTATAGTTCTGTTTGTTCTATGCCTGCTTTCTACCATTGTTCCTGGTCTCTCTGTGCCTTTGCTTCTCTCCCTTTGCCAGCTCAGTTCCAAGTAGCTGCTATTCTTTTTGTTGTTGTTCTGGGGTGGTCTTACCATACTCAAGCTGTTTATCCTTGTACTGGTCAGTCCCAAATTCTTGGTGAATGACAAATAGGGAAATACTGCTTTCCTCCTTGTCACCTGGTATTTGAGTATCCACATGGTTCATGGCACTATTTTAGATGCTCTTCAAAGTTCAGTCTTTGTGAGTAAGGAATTGATAGTTTGAGGAGGATTAAATATACAATGTAATATGTAAATGAATACATGTATTTATTGGCTCATATTACTCACCCACCTCTCTGTTGACACAATGTACTTAATGCTTTCTCCAATGTAAGGATTTTCTCCCTGGTATAAGGTGCTACATTATAAAATCAGAATATCAGCTGCTGCATTATCGAATCAGAGTGTCAGTTACTACATTATAGAATCAGAATATCAGCTGCTACATTATAGAATCAGAATGTCAGTTGCTACGTTACATATTCAGAATGCCAGCTGCTATGTTGTAGAATTGGAATGTCAGCTGGAAGGGGTCTTAGCAATTACTTATTTTTAACCTCCTAGTAGATAAGGAAAACAAACTTTAGAGAACTTAATAAAATGTAGAACTTTATCAAAAGTTTTACAATTAGCTCGTTGCAGACCCTGACTAATTTAAGAACTCAGTTCATTAGACAGAGATAGAGCACCTGTTATGTACTATAAACTGAAATAAGCAGTATGGTGCAAAGATAATAAAATCCATTTTCTAATCTTCAGGCACTCAGTTAAGTGGTCAGGAACCTAGAGCTGTTGATCATCATTCTTTGTACTGCCCTGTGCTATCCCTCACTGCTTGAAACTTTTATATGAAGTTGCTCATTGTTTATTCATTGTCCACCTCTTTGAATTAGATTTCAGGCTGCTGAGAAGTGTAGATAAAACCTTGGTAAATACTTCAACTGAGTTTTTTGCAGGGCCAGTTAATGGATTTGAGTGCTTGTTGTATAAAGAGAATTAACTGCACCATATACACAAGAAGTAACCTACAAAAAATAGAAGATATAGGACCTACCTTTAGCAATATTGTTAACATATGGTGAAGATGAAATAAACAAGTGCAAAACAATTATTCATAGGAATACAAACCAACTACAAGCTTATGTTTCTGTAATGAGTGTTATATTTAGTTTCAATGGGCTGCCAGAATAACTAAGTCAAATAGCATAGCTATTATTTGTGAGCACCCTGATTAAGGGGGAGATGGTGGCAGCTCTGATTTTCAGTGGAAGTTATAATTTTCAGGTTTGGCCTTGTCTTGACTAGAGATATTAAGGAAGAGAATATTTTTTGTGGGGGTTTCCTAGGTGGGTTTTATGAGCTAACTTCCTGGGAAAGGAGGATGCTGCATTGGATAGAATCTCAGTACTCTGGGATGTTCATTTCTAAGTTCCCTTGTCCTCTAGAAAGCTAAGGGCATAGGTTGAGATATTTAGAAATAAGGGAGTAGTGTGTGTGTGTGTGTGTGTGTGTGTGTGTGTGTGTGGTGTTGGGGGGGGGGCGGGGCGGGCAGTGATCAGCCAGCAGGTTTTCTTGAAAGGAGTGGAAAACACACTGCCAAATAGCAAGAACCAAGGATAGAGCAATTTCACAGTGTCCTTATGTATGCATTACTTGGGATTTGATGCCATAAAGAGTTGTAAACCAACATAGATTGTTCAGTAAGAGACAGGGTGGTAAAATGAAAAGAAAATGGACTTCGGAGTCAAAATGTCCCAGGTTCAAAATGTCATAGGTTCAAATCCCAACCCCATGTTTAGTGTGACCCTAGGCAAGTTGCTCAATCTTTGAGGCTTGAATTTATCATTTGTAATAATCCCTCAGTTTTTTTTGTCTGTAGTAAAGGTGATAATAGTTACCTTAGTAATTATTATGCTTTTGTGAGAGTTTATTTATTATCAAATGATGTAAAAATACTTACATAGTATAGTATTATGGTGGATGCTCTGTGATTGTTAGTTGGCTTTCATTTCTATGTGGTGCTTTAGAAAACTGATACTTGTTGCTCTGGGATTTTGATTACTAAAAGACTGAGTGGCAGGCTAACTTGGAGACTGTTCTTGCAGGCTAGAGATGTGAAATTATCAAGGTCTGGAGTAGGGTGACAACTGTGGAAAATGACAGCGAGGGTCAAACTTGAGAGTTGTTTATAAAGCATCAGTAGGACTTGGTGAGTGAGGAAGTATGTTGGAAAGAGTATAGGCTTTGATGTTAAACCAGGCTGAATTCCGACTTTGTCACTTGAAGCTGTGTGACTCTAAGTCACTTAACTTCTGTATCTCAGGATAATTCCTGTTTTGCAGTATTATTGGGAAGATTATATATAAAACAGCTAGAAATGCCCGGCATATAATGGGAGTTGAATAAATGGAAATCGCTGTAATTACCATTAATGATTGATTAGAAAATGTGTATGTTGGGGATTAAGAGATTGATCAAGAAGACAGTAGACTAAAGTCACAAGCTGGGAAAATGAGGATAGATATGGTATTGATAGTAACAAAAGGGAATTTAAAAGAATTGAAGGATATTTCAGTGTTTTATAGATTTGGGTTTAATTTAGGTAAGGGTGATTCTTGAGAAAGGGGACATATGGAGGAATAAAAGAGTGTTCAGGACCAAGTATTAAATGATGCCAATGGTTAAAGGACAGTGAAAAGAATAATAAACTGCAGGTGGTAAGACAGAAGTATGTCAAAGACTTGGGAGGTGAGAAGAAAGACCAGTCTTGTGGGAAACTGAAAGAGGAAGAAAGATTCAATGTAATTATGAGATTGAACAGAGTGAAAATTTTAAAAAAGACACATGATCTGGAAAAGGAGCAAAAGATTTCAAAGAGTTCTTGGAAGCTCTCTCATATCCTGTATGAGATACTATACATAATGTTATGGTATTTGGCTATACCATGATGCCATCTCTTTCTGAAGGCTGAAACTACATCTCCCATGTATTCTTAAGGGATATGCATAGTACTTGATGTGGTGCTTTAAATTTTTGAGTGGCAAGGGGGAGCTCAAGGTGGTTGTATAACATTTTAGATATTGAGGAGATCATCTTCTTGGTTTTGTTAGATTATGATGAAGATGACTATGATGCTGATTGTGAAGATATTGATTGCAAGTTGATGCCTCCCCCACCTCCACCCCCAGGACCACTGAAGAAGGATAAGGACCAAGATGCTATTACTGGTGGTAAGTAGAGAGTGTCTACTTTTGTCTAAGGAGCAAGTTTCCATTCATAAGTATAGGCTTTTGGCACACACATAAAGGGAGATTAAACAAAATTAAGCTGCTAGGAAAGGATAAAACTTCTGGAGATTGATACACTCTCAAATTTTAGTATTAAAAGGAAACTTTACTTTTAAAACATTTGGCATCAGTGTTTTAACATGTGCTTAAGAAGTAGTAGTTTAGGTCGGTGGCTTTTATATCTGGCTGCCCATCAGAATCACCGCGAGTCTTTAAAAAATACCCCTGGAGGGCCGGGCACGGTGGCTCACGCCTGTAATCCTAGCTCTCTGGGAGGCCGAGGCGGGCGGATTGTTTGAGCTCAGGAGTTCGAAACCAGCCTGA